TGGGCGACAGAGTGAGACTCCAACTCAAAAAAAAAAAAAGAAAAGAAAAGAAAAGAAAAGGAGAAGTGAAAGAATAAAGCTTAGATTCACATTTGGTTTTTTGGAGGCTTGCTTCTTTGGTGAGTTTTTTCTGGAAAAACAGGTCATCTGTCAGTGGCAGTCATCATGTCTCCTCATGGATGTTTCATCTGGCCACAGACACAAATCCAAATTCAGTTTTTGGCAACCTTGAAAACATGCTAACTTGTGTATAGCTCTAATGAAGCTTACTCTTTCTTAATAAAAACAAAACCCAGGACCTCCTGACTTAGCACTTAAAATACACTCTCTTGCTGGTCAAAGACAGCCCAGGATTGAGCTTCTGTGGGCTCTCTTATGCCCCTCCTCACACTCACCATGTGCTCGTCTTGGTGTACAGCTAAGGGCACAGCTAAAGGCTATGATAGTTGAGGTCTATGCTGATGAATGCTGAAACTTAACCTTCACTGGCTACTATAAAGACAACATTCATAAGACACCATGGTAATAGTGGCTTCAGTTGTTTTTCAGGAACTTGAGCCAACTTCTGTCCTGTTCAAACTGGTTGAGACCACCAACCCTTCAACTGGGCTTGTTCAAGTTCCCAAGAGATGGTCGTTTAATGCCAGAGGGTCAAAAACTTCATCCTCAGATCATGCTAACAGTGACATTATCTGTACATATCTCCTGTGAAATGCCATGAACCCGACCAAACCTGCATAGAGTGAGCCAGTTACTTCATTTTCCCCCACTTAAACCATCCCACTTCCCTAACCCATAAATATCCCTAAACCTCATCTTCAGGAAGATGGATTTGAGAGCTGTTCTCTCACCTCCTAGTTCATTAGCCTTGTTAGTAAATCTTTTCTCTTCTGCAAAACCTACATCACAGTGATTTACTGTGTGGGGGCAGAAGAGACCTGGACCTGGCTGATAACATATATATCCAGTTGGTGATGGGCAGCAAAGAGGAAAAGCAGATACTGCCATAGATTTTTTTTTTTTTGTATTCATCAGCAGCTGCATCACGATTATTTTGTAGTTGTGATTATATAAAGAAAAGTTGTAAATGTTGATAGCTATAAATTCTATTTTGATTGGAAGAATATTGAAGATTGATTCATGCTATCTGAATTGTGTGTTCATTATAACCAACTCCAAGGTCCAAATTCATTAAGATTTGATTCATATTGTCTTTTTTTTTTTGAGTTGGAGTCTCACTCTGTCACCCAGACTGGAGTGCAGTGGCCGCTCCCGGCCACTGCAGCCTCGACTTGCTGGGCTCCAGCGATCCTTCCGCCTCAGCCTTCCAAGTAGCTGGAACCCCAGGCACACGCTACTGCACCCGGCTAATTTTTTTTATTTATTGTAGAGATGAGGCCTTGCCACGTTGCCCAGCCGGGTCTCGAACCCGCAGGCTCAGGCAATCCACTCACCTCAGCCTCCCAAAACATGGAATTACAGGCTGAGCCACCGAGCCTGGCTGATTCATATTGTCTCTAAGAAAATCTTCTGATATGCATTTTAACTAAATGTATGACAGTGTTCATTCACAAAATATACCGGGGGCACCCCCCCAAACAGAATTTACTTATTAAAAATTGTGTATTTATTCTTACATGTTTAAACTTCAGTCACTGGCCAGGTTCAGTGGCTCAGTCAGTAATCCCAGCGCTTTGGGAGGCCGAGGCGAGTGGATTGCCTGAGCCCACGGATTCGAGACCCACCCGGGCAACTTGGCAAGACCTCGTCTCCACACTAAATCAAAAATTAGCTGGGAGTGTTAGCGCACTCCTATAGTTCCAGTTACTTGGAAGGCTGAGGTGGAAGGATCACTGGAGCCCAGCAGATTGAGGCTGCAGTGGCCGGGAGCATGCCACTGCACTCCAGTCTGGGCAACAGAGTGAGACTCCAACTCAGAAACAAAAAACAAAACAAAACAAAAAACAACTTCACTCGTCTTCAAAGTACTCTTTGTTTTTTGCAATATACCTACCAATACTTTTTCTGCTGCTCAAAACAATTATTGAACTTGTCGATTTTGATGCTTTTTGTTTCACCTCTTCCACATTGGCAAAATATTTTCCTTTGAGGACTTTTATTATCTAGGAAACAAAAAACAAAAGTTGCTTGGGGTGAGATCTGACGAACAGGGAGAATGGGGGCACAGGGATCACGCCATTTTTGGTCAAAAACTGCTGAACACTCAGTGGTGTGGGCAACTGTGTTGTCACGGTGGAAGAACCAGTCACCTTTCTGCTGCAGCTTGGGGCGCTTCTTCCACAATGCAGCCTCTCTCAACGCTAGCTGGTACACTGATATGGATGGGTTCCTAAAACACTTACCCAGTGGGGGAAGCTTGTGCTACAAGGTACTTGCCCTCCAAAAGACAATTCTGGGCTTTTTTAGGTCACCCTCATATTTAATCACTGGAAGAGAGAACTTCTAAAAGTTTAATTTTGATTCTATCCATGAATTAAATTAAAAACTTAAACTGACCTTTAATTTGAAGTATCTGATGAAACTGATTTGGACAAAGTGTTAAGTTTATCTTCTGCCAACCGAGCTAATGTTTCCACATATTGCTCTATATTTTGAAAATAAAAGAAATTAATTTAGAGTAACTCACTTGATAAAATAAAAAGTCTACTTTATAAACTCCCATATAAGTCTAACCCCTGCAGCTATACTTATTTGGTTGCTATCTTTGGATAGAATTTTCTTAAAATGACTAACTTTTGGGCAACCCCCTTAGGTCCTCTCCTGCTCTGGGAGCGTTTCTGTTCTCTCAATAAATCCTGCTTTCTAAAAAAAAAAAACAAAAAACATTACTAACTTTTGAAGGAGATGCTGGTATTTCCTTATAGATTTACAGATTGGCATCTTCTGGTTTTTATGTGATCAGAAATAACACTATGGTACCACCATAGTGGTACACAACATTTTGTGCACACCCCATTTCTTGAGATATAAAAAATTAAGTACTTAATTTTTGAACTCACTGTTTGCTGAAAGGATTTATTGCAAAATTTTAAAAGTATAACCAAACGAAAATAAATAAATGCCTGTAGATTGCCTGTAGATTTTCACTAATCAATGAATGATAAAACCACAACAGCAAGAGAGATTGGGTTTATTTCTCTAACACAGTATAGCCTCTATTTCACTGTACGTATTTTAAGTACACCTAAGCTATAACTTTTTTTTCCAATTGACCCTGCCAAACCGTGGCTCCTTACAGATCACGACATGAGCCACATCGTACTCAGGTGGCTGTTGGGAAAAGCAGCATCAAATAATTCTCCCCCCAATACTAGAGGCCAGAAGGACTTAGCTGTTCATCACAGCTTCAACGGGTTAGTTCCTTATATGCTGTCCTTGAAGGTGGAGACTTCTGAAAAGAGCCAGGTAAAAAGAAACAAACTTACTGGCTGCCTTTCAGCTTTAATCACAGGTTAAAGTGAGAACTCTATGCACTGCTAGGTCACTTATCAATTTATTGTCTCTTGGCTCTACAGCATCCATTCCTGGACACGTAAATACTGGAGTTGGACCCTGTAAACATTACTATTCCAACTGTTTCAATGTTAGGCTTTGCCAATAGAGGACGCCGGTGAGATGCGACCAGGAGGGTGCAGTAGAAAGGCATTTCCCTTCCAGCATCTGGTCCTCCCTTGAGCACTCGGTACAGGAGCCCAGCAGTGCACATGGGCCGTCTCTAGCCATATTCTTATGCTTTCCCCATGCAACAGCCATTTCTACAATCACAAAGTCTGAAATAGCAGGCGACCATGTCCCTACCTAGCATTTTGTCTAGACCAGCTCCAGTTTCCCACTCCCTCCAGCAATGGCAGACAGCTTCTGTGGGCAATCTCTGGCCCATTCCCTTTACCAGTGGCAGATTCCTGTTTCTGTAGCAGCTGAATCCTCTTCAAAAAGGTCAGAATCTCTGCCTGAAGAGTGTGTGTGTTGGGCAGCAGGTCTTCTGAGACCTCAATCCTGTCATTGTTCACTGTCACTCAGTCTAAAGTAGCAGCTACTCCCTTTTTTACATGCTGCTTCTGCCTCTTTTCCCCTGATAAACAATTCTTTATATTAATTCTCATCTACTCAAACAAATGATGTGGTTTTATCTCCAGAGTGGACCCTAGCTGATATAACTGCAACAATGTCTACACAGGAAAGACTATGGTGGAAGCTTAAAGTATGGAATCAAGGTCTACCAATCCCTCTCCTGTAGTTTTGTTGTTGTTGTTGTTTTGTTTTGTTTTGTTTTTGAGTTGAAGTTTCACTCTGTCACCCACACTGGAGTGCAGTGGCCACTCCCGGCCACCGCAGGCTCGACCTGCTGGGCTCTGGCGATCCTTCTGCCTCAGCCGTCCAAGTAGCCAGAACTACAGGAGCGCGCTACCATGCCCAGCTAATTTTTGATTTATTGTAGAGATGAGGTCTCGCCAAGTTGCCCAGGCGGGTCTCAAACCCGCGGGCTCAGGCAATCCACTCACCTCAGCCTCCCATAGGCGCAGGATTACAGGCTGAGCCACCAGGCGGGGCTTCCTGTAGCTATTATTAACAGTACTTCACTAAGAATGAAAAACCTGTGACAAATGCTGAACCAGGCAGGGCACCAGGGCAAAAGACATAACCATGACTGTCTGGGACATACCATGTGTATGGTCATCCTACTGATATGCCCTGTTCCAAGAGGAGATGAGGACTATACTTCCTGTTGAACTTTCCTATCTGCGGTACATCCAAACAAAGCACCTCGAAGAGGAATGGATACATTTAAAAGGCAGTCAGACTTCTCTACCTGCCACCCACCTCCTTATCATTTAATACTTAGGTAGCACCCTTGGAATTAGTGGGGAGAATGACAAGGGACCAATGGCAGTTCCCAGATATATCATATCAGAAATGCATAGCAAGCCAGGCTCGGTGGCTCAGCCTGTAATCCCGCGCCTTTGGGAGGCTGAGGTGAGTGAATTGCCTGAGCCCGCGGGTTCGAGACCTGCCTGGGCAGCGAGACCTCATCTCTACAATAAATCAAAAAATCAGCCGGGCGTGGTAGCGCGTGCCTGTAATTCCGGCTACTTGGAAGGCTGAGGCGGAAGGATCGCCGGAGCCCAGCAGGTCGAGGCTGCGGTGGCCGGGAGCGGCCACTGCACTCCAGTCTGGGTGACAGAGTGAGACTCCAACTCAAAAAAAAAAGAAAAAAGAAAAAAAGAAATGCATAGCAGACCAAATTCACATCAATAGAGAAACAGTTAGGAAAATCTTGCCGTGAGAAAGACGTGTGTAAAAATGGTCCCAAAGGAGCTCTTGCATCATGACAAGGCTCACATAGCACTGTCTGTGAGGGAGTTTTTAGCCAGCAAACAAATTATTGTATTGGAACACTCTCCCTACTCCAAATGACTTTTTTCTTTACCCAAAGATAAAGGAAATATTGAAAGGAAGACATTTTGATGACATTCAGGACACCAAGGGTAATATGACAACAGCTCTGATGACCATTCCAGAAAAAGAGTTTCAAAATTGCTTTGACAGGTGAACTAGATGCTGGCGTTGGTGCGTAGCTTCCCCAGGGGAATACTTTGTAGGTGACCTTAGTGAAGGTCAGCAATGAGGCACGTAGCACATGTTCTAGGAGGGGTTTGTGAACTTATTGTCACACCTCATATATATGTATGTATCCCCTACTATCCAGGAGTGTCTTTCTCAAGGACTAAAAGCCATTCTTTTGAAATTGAATCATCAGGAAGGACAAGGTCTCTGTCTCTCAGTCTCTGTGGGAGGTTAGAATGCTAAATTGGATAATGACGTCACTGGGCTATTCACATTTACTCTGACCAACCCTTTGTAATTCACTTCTCCAACTCTGCTTGCCCCTCCATTCTCCTCCAACCACGCTCTCTCATTCTCCCTTCAAAAGCCCCAGTCATTGAGTTCAGTTCATACTGAACCCTCTTCCGCATTGCAATAGTATACTATTAGTTAAAATCTGTCCTGGTTACTCTAACCAGTATCTGGCTTGGTCTGTCTTTGACACAGATCTTCCTGAGTATCAGTGAAAAGCTGTGGAAACCACATTTGGGATGAGAAACCCAAAGGTGAAACTGGGATTCGTTCCTGAGATGATGAATCATAGAGTCTGGGACCTTCTCCTCAGAGACTTGAGGGCTCTTTGATGGGAGAAGCCTCTGTATCCTGCCTGCCTCTGCTCCCTTTCCCCCCTCCTAATTTCTCACCGCCACCATGATGGCAACTTCCTACAGTATACGTTTCATAATTCAGCCTGAGAGACCTTTCTAAAACACAGATATAATTACGTTCCTCCCCACTTAAAATCCCTGGTGGTTCTTCATAATCCACAAGAGGAAGGTAAACTTCATAGTCCACAAGAGGATGGTTAATTTTATGCAACACCTTGGTTAGGCCTTATTGAATCCATATATTTGTTCAAACACCAATCTAGATGTTGCTGTGAAGGTATTTTTTTAGGTGTGATAAATATTTAAATCAGTAGACTTGGTGTAAAGCAGATCACCCTCTATGGTGTGAGTGGGCCTCATCCGATCAGTTGAAGACTTTTAGAGCATCAATCCCCAAACTTTTTGGCATCAGGGACCAGTTTCATTGAAGATTTTTTTTTTTTTTTTTTTGAGTTGCAGTCTCACTCTGTCACCCATACTGGAGTACAGTAGCCGCTACCAGCCACTGCAGCCTCGACCTGCTGGGCTCCAGCAATCTTTCCGCCTCAGCCTTCCAAGTAGCTGGAATCACAGGTTCGTGCTACCATGCCCAGCTAATTTTTTGATTTATTGTAGAGACGAGTTCTCACCAAGTTGCCCAGGCGGGTCTCAAACCTGCGGGCTCAGGCAATCCACTCACCTCAGCCTCCCAAAGCACGGGATTACAGGCTGAGCCACTGAGCCCAGCTGGAAGATAATTTTTCCACAGACAGTGGAAGGGAATGGTTTTGGGATGATTTATGTGCATAACATTTATTATGCACTTTATTTCTATTA